CGGCTGAATCAGAGATGCCTGGGGCAGAGCCGGACTATTGGAAGGGGGGGGCTATGAGGGGTCTGGGGTGGCATCCCCCCTCACCCCACCCCCTTAATAGCCCCCCCTTCTGATAGTCCGGCAAATCTGATAATCCGGCACCCCCTGGGTCCTAAAGGTGCCGGATTATCGGAAGTTTACTGTACCTCACATTGCACTACGCACCAGGAAAAGGATAATTAGTATTTCATAGATTAGCAGCAGTCTCACTGCCAGGTAAAGTCCCTGCTTTCCTAAGCATGAACAGAGGGCAACATTCCATAAACACGTGACTATCAATTTTCAGCATCTTAAACAGGGTTACTATACCTGATGGCTGGCTTACTTGTGTTACCATGTGGAGAGGAAAGCTTTTTCTAATGATCTCACAACCAGTTTGCAGTAGGCAAATTCGCTGGTCAACTGTATGTTCATTGGCCAAACTTCAAATAGGAGGGCAGGAGGCGGAGGGCTGAGGCAGTCCTGGATTGGGGGAGGGAGACATGCTCCTAGCTAGCCTGTCACCGGTCTGGTGACTTATGCAAAGCGATTCCATTCCACGCACATCCCATTTTCTTGGTACAACCAAACCCTGACTTTGCTTTAAGTGATAGTAAGAGGAAGCTGCCTACCAAACCCGGTGGTCCTTCTAGCGCTTACTGTTTAGGAGGAGTTCTTGAACAGACAGACGAACTCTCTCAAATATATAGATTTGTTTTATGGGTAAAGCCAAGTAGCCCTGACTCAGGGCCCTAATATGCTAGGCACATTGACAACTTTTGCCCCAAAGAGCTTACAGCGTTTTTCCCCCTGGATGCTTAACAAGCCCAGCTGGAAACGTACATGAAGAGGTAAATTCATTGCAGTATCAGATTTTTAAATAAGCACTTTTGTTAAAAGTCTAGTGATAATCACTAAGTAACAATCCAGGAAAACACCGAGTGAAGATTTGCAAGAGAGGAACTGTACAGAGAAAGTACTCCGCTGTGATGGTGGAGAATGAAGGGGTGTCAAACAGGATGGAGGTGTGTATAACTAAATTACATAAAGTGAGTTGAGAGACAGGTCACAGCAAAAGAGAATTGATCAGAATTGTTCGGTTTTTAGTGATTATCCTTTAAATGTGAGCTGAACACATTTGAATCTTAGCAAATAAATTGAGTTTTGTATTACAGCCAAAATTACAAACTGTAACTGCAGAACTGTACTATATACATTGATTGTTAGAAGAGTTTTCAACTAGTGCAAGAGAAACAAAACTTTGAGTTTTCATTTCAGTAAGCCTACATTTTTTCAAATATTGTACATAAGTTGCATTTGTTTCACTTTATATGCTCAATGTTGAACTTTTATTAAAGAGTGCTCTTCGATACCACGATGGGAGTTATAGGAAAAACACCATGGGAAGATATTTTTGTTAGTCTCTAAGGTGCCACAGGACAAAATTTTTAAATTACATTCATTGTGACTGATTTTTCTTTCAAGAAGCGATCATCTTTGAATACTTTGGTTAGTAAATAATCCAATTCCCCCCCTCACTTATCACTTGCTATTAGATCACTGTCCTGCTGTTTTGTGGATTATGTAGCACTTGTACAAACAACTCAAAGTGAACTAATCCCCCACAATAACTGAAGGTCATAATAAATAAATATAAAAACAAAGTATACAAAAAGGGAGTTTCTGAATTTTATTTTCCGTAAAAATTTAGACCCTAGATGGATACAGCATCTGTAAAGAAAAAAAAAGAAAAAAAACAGGTTAGAGATCTCGTTATTCAAACTAAAATGTTAACATAGTCCTAATTAATCATTATCTGAATTACCACTACCCATTTGCAGAGCATTCTTTGAGAGGGTTACTGGCCAACAGGATGGAGAGAAGCAGCAGGCATGGTGTATCTTCATTTTAGTAAGGCCTTTGACACAGTCCCACATGATATTATCATTAGGATTAGCCTATATGAAATCACTTGAAGGTAGATGCACAGAACTGGTTGAAAGACTGTACTCAAACAGTCGTGATCAATGGTTCACTATTAAACTGGGACGGTGTATCCGGCTGCATGTCACACAGGGGTCTGGGTCCGGTACTAGGTGGCCAGGTTGGTTGGATTCAGGCTTTGGTCCCTCATCCTGGGGCCATGTAATAATGTTTGATGTCAGA